GCTCATCACTAAATAAAAGACATGCACTTTATACTGAGAAATTATTTTTTAATTTTTTTTTCTAATTTTAAACATTTTTACACACAATTCTACTGTACTTACTAGCTAAAAGGAAAACTCTTCTTGGAGGACTATTGGATTTTTCCCTTCAAATTGTCCTTCTTAGGGAAAAAAATGCAATTGAAACCAGCCAAATACTACTTAAGACTTCTGCACATAGTGCTGAAGCTGTTGCACTGTTTGGGTTATAATATATAGCTGTTACTAGACAACACTAGACTAATCCTTATGGTAAATGTTTCTGTAGAAAAATAACTATCACATTGCATTACAAACATTATCACAGAAGTTAACATGCTACACCTCAGCCTCCCAAAATGAGTGAGTGAAAAAGCAGGTTTCCAAACCCCATTTTCAGTGCAGACTTCAGCTTTTGCAAAGTGAAAGCACACAGAGCACAGAGCAGCAGTGAGGCACCCAACACGATCGCCTCTCTCCAGAGTCTTTCTGAACTAAGACAACTCAAACAAAACCTTATTTACCTTACAGATTGACAGTTTTACAGCCAAGGGGCCTGATTTTCTGGTCCTTATTCAGAATCTACTGAATTCCCTGGTTGGTAGTACTGACCATGCATGTACAAATCAAGCCTCTCCTAAGGTTTTCACTGAGATGATATTCCACTGCTTATTTCCAAATCTTGGCAAGCTGGATAAGAGTTGCCTATTAATATTAATTATTATAAGGGATACTACTACTTCTACCGCTACAACTACAACTACTACTACTATTAAGGCATGGTTTTAAAGGAGGATTGACTCTAAAAAGCTGCAAACTGGATGGCTCCTCTTCCAGCTTTCTATGTATAGCTACTCTTGTTTAAGGAGAGCTTTCTCTAAACAAACTTTGCAGAAAAGGTTCAAGCAATTAGTGATAGATTCAGGAAATGTAACCATTCAAATATGTCTGTCCTCTGATCTAGAACAAGCTGATCAAACACCAGTAAACTAATTACTTCAGACACTCTACAGTAATCACCAAGCCCAAATGTGAACATTTACAATCAAACCCGGGTATTATTTTCTTCACTAGAACACAGTCTCATGCTCCCTGTATGTCAAAAATAATAATGTATAATGTGTAAGCTTCCAAAAGAAACCTAAGCTACTGATGTCAGCTGCCAGGAGGTATCAATATGGACCTCTTCAGCATTTCAAGATAACAACCAGTCTAGCGTAATGATTCATAAACTCCAAGAAGCAGCAGTTTGAATCTGAAATGTAACTTGTCAAAAAGTACAGATGGAATAAAGCAGTATAGGTATTTCTCAGATGATCAGTATTCAGCTCTGCTTCCTGCTATCTCAGGGAGACCAGGCTTGCACCCGTGCTACCTGGGGATCTACAGTCTGTATTTCTCCTCCCCTCAGTTCCCAAACCTTCATGATAGTGAAAACACTTTTCAAGTGATCAATCCAAGCACATTCATCAAATCATCTGTCTTGAAATACTCAAAGACTGCTTTCAATAAATATTTTAGAGAACAATTCCAGAGAGTTATTAATTGTATTTCCTCTCCAGATTAGCTTCAACAAAGAAACACAAAAAACCTCACTACAGCATTTTTCATCTAGGATATATTATTTGGTATTTCTTAAGATATCAAAAAAGCTCTCTCAAGCCTTAACTTTCTATACTGGTAAGCAAGCAGGTGACAGAGATGGCACCAAAGCAAAAGTTGCTTTGCCATAGATTATGGTCCATTACCTGCACAGTACACTGAGGCTACTAAGATGCTTTCAAGAACGACAGACCATGGGCCAAATACAACCACCTCTAATCATAAGAATAGCCGTTACTCACATTAGACACATCACTAAAATTAATTGGATTGAAAGATTACGAACCAGTCATGCAAACAGCAGTCTTTGTGGTCTTGCCCCAGACAAACACTCCAGGGGGGCATAAAAAGCAAGACCAATAAAATTGTAAAATATATATGTGTGTTGGACAAATGGACACGGCCCCAGTGTTTCACAAATGCAGGTTTTAGCATCCCTTTCGATAATGCTGATTAATGTGACTGTACTGAGGTACTGTATTGCATTGTTGCTAAAGAAGTGTAAATCCTCAACAACTTCAACAGGGAATAAAGCTTAAAAGCATTCAACCTCCACATGAAAGGGTATTTTTGTTGTTTGCTAAAACTTGATCACTTTATGAATGACATAAAACCAATAGCAAAATTTTACCACTGCTTCAGATTATAAAAAATTTTAGATCTCTTAAAATATTAAGCTAAAAATTTATTTTTATTTTTAGTTTCAACTTAACACTCGATATAAGACACAGCACTTATTTCCACATTTCTTTATGTTTTATACCTTGCTTTCATTTTCTGATATACTACAAAGTTATTAAATCCATTAAGTACTGAAAAATTTAATCTTTTATCGTTGTGGTTTTGTTTTTTTTTTCCTGGAAGAGAAACAATCATTTTT